TTTTGGATGTGATTAATCGCGATTAATCGTTTGACAGCACTAGTAGTAATACTTTTCAAAATAAAATATGATATTTTATTACAGACGTTTATCTGATGCGGTTGAAGAGTTTATGCAGACATGTTTTCATAAAACATGCTGAAATGCTTTCTTTTCAGTCACGCCTGTGGGAAACGCAAAAGCAACTCCAGCACCTGCGCAGACAGACGGCTCACATGGAGACACTGGCAGTACCCATGATGCTCGGCGCCGCACACCGGCCGCTCTCTCGTACGCAGTCGTCTCCAGCCTCCACCTCGCTGACGCTGCCGGACAAAGCCTTGCCTCTCAGCACGGCACCGGAGCCGCCCCAGAGCCAGCCGCGCTTCACCACGGGTACACCGTCTCCACCAATCACACGCCGGTCTGCAGCAGATGATACACTCACACTGACTCAAACCTCGATGTGTGTGTGTGTGTGCAGGTCTGGTGTATGACTCCCAAATGCTGAAGCACCAGTGTGCGTGTGGAGACAACAGCAGCCACCCAGAGCATGCTGGGAGAATCCAGAGCATCTGGTCGCGCTTGCAGGAGAGGGGCCTCAGGGGCCAGTGTGAGGTATTTACAGCCTGCACTTCCCCTCTTTCCTAAAGGGGGCGCTGAATAATCTGTCCTACCATTATTCTCTTGAACACATCCACATTAACGGCACAGTTCAGTCCAAAATCAACATTCTGTCATCATTTATTCACCCTAATGTTGTAACAAACTTGCATGACTTTCTGCAGTGGAATGCAAAAGAATTTAAATTTGGGCCTTTATTTATAAAATGTATATTAATAAGTCTCTGTAAAGCTTCAAAGTGACAAAATACACCATTAAAGTAGTTTATATCACACATCCAATATATTCTGTATTATAGTCCACTATATTATAGTCTTCTGAAGCTGCGTTATAGATTAATGTGAGGAACAGACCGAAATTTAAAGGGATAGTTCACCAAAAAATTCAAGTTTCATTTACACACGCTCAAGTTGTTCCAAACATGTATGAGTTTTTTTTCTTCTGTTGAGCACAGAAAAAGAATGTTGGTGACGGTAGTCATTGACTTGCATAGTATTGGAAAAAAAATACTATGGAAGTCAATGTCTACTGTCAACTGTTTAGTTACCAACATTCTTCAGAATATCTTTTTTTTTTCTTTCTTTCTTTCTTTTTGTGTAAAAGAAGAAAGAAACTCATAAGGTTTGGAACAAGTGGAGGGTGAGTAGCCTAAATGAAGACAATTTTCATTTTTGGGTGAACTATTCCTTTAAGTGGCTATTTGAAAATTAGTTCACAAAACAGGTCTGAATGAGTCCTTCACAAACCAGGTTAATTCAGTGTCATGAGCATCCAGGTCTCAATTAGGACTCTAAGCGGCTCAGTGAAGTTTTAAAGGGAGAGTTCACCCAAAAATGAAAATGACCCCATGATTTACTCATCCTCAAGCCATCCTAGATTTATATGACTCTGCTCTTTCAGACGAATACAATCGGAGTTATATTAAAAATTGTCCCGACTCTTCCAAGCTTTATAATGGCTATGAATGGTGGTCGAGATTTTGAAGCCCAAAAAAGGGCATCCATCCACCATAAACAATTGCTCCACATGGCTTTTGGGGGTTAATAAAGGCCTTCTGAAGTGAATCGATGCACTTGTGTAAGCATAATATCCATATTTAAAACTTTATAAGCCATAATCTCTAGCTTCTGCTAACTGTTGTGCGCGCGTTCATGCGAGAGTGGCGTTCCAGCGGATGGCGTAAACTTTTCTTCCTTCCTTTTTTCGAAAATTCATTCTCACCTTTTTAATTTCTCAGTCCACATTCACTTTCATTATATTGAAAGAAGATATTCGAAAACCTCCCTGCTTTTAAAACTCCAATGCTCACAGCATGTTTGCACCATGAAAATCCTCTCTCATGATGTTTTTGCTTCCTCTGCAGAGTATTCGGGGAAGGAAGGCCACTCTAGAGGAGTTACAGTCTGTCCAACCCTGCCAGAAACATGTTAGATTGGAAATTAAGTAGACATGCATGATATGTTGGTGGCCAGTTTATTACTTGTTGATAATTGGGAAAATTTAAATTAGTGCTGTCAAACGATTAATCGCGATTAATCGTTTGACAGCAATATAATTATATAATTGTTATTATCTATATGGAAAGAGGAATTACAGCAGTTTTAGCAAAGAATGTTACAGTATTTTCATTTTTGGGCAGGTGCAGTAAGACTTAACCTGTCTCATGAATTAGTATGTGCGTATGAGCATGACACGGAAACATTTGACTACATTTTATTTTGATGGTCCATGTTCGACACTATTTACTATAACTACATAAGTAACTTTCCAACAACATGTCAACTACCTCTCATTAATTTGTAACTACATGTCAGCTAACCCTCATTAGAGTATTATTAGACTGTTAGGGTTTGTAGAATACGTTGACAAGTATTCGCAGAGTTACTTACAGTCAGTGTCTGTTGGTGGATCATCAAATAAAGTGTTAGCAGATATTATGCAGACAGTCTACTCATACTATAATGACTTCTGCTAGTTGACATGTAGTTGCAAAGTTACTGATAGTTAGTAGAATGTCTAAAGTGGACTATCAAAATGAAGTATTAGCACATATGTTGTTTTTCGCCAAGTTTGCATCTTGTATGCTCTGTGAAGGTTTAATTCAAGACCCACATGTCATTTTAAGTTATAAGTAATAATAGACCTTGTGGTAACACATTAGTTTAGGGACCAATTCTCACTGTTAACTAGTTGCTTATTAGCATGCATATTACTAACATATTAGCTGTTTATTAGTACTTATAAAGCACATATTAATGCCTTATTCTGCATGATCATATTTTAGATCCCTTAATCCTACCCCATACCTAAACTTAACAATGACCTTACTAACTATTAATAAGCAATTAGGAGTTTATTGAGGCAAATAAGGTCATAGTTAATAGTTAGTTAACAGTGAAAATTGGTCCCCAAGTGAAGTGCACACAGACCATTTCACTTATTCTGTTTATGTTTTAAGAAGTAATAAGTATATGTAAAAAAATGTGACTAAAACAATCACTGCTAAATGCTTTCTCACATACAAATGCTTACTATAGTTTTTGAGTGAAAGAAATATTATTTTATTGTTATAGTCAATTTAGGGTACATCTATTTGATGTTTTATTATCAACATATTTCATAAATTGAAAGGGATATAATGCAAAAAACACTGTTTATTGGACATTGTTATCTGCCCATATGCAAAAAATGTTAAAAGGATAATTCACCCAATAAATAGGAAACCTGTCAAAATTTACTCACCCTCATATTGATCCAAACCCATGAAACTTTTGTTCTTTTTCAAACGCAAATGAAAATATTTTTAATATTCTCAATCTATTGGAAGTCTACGCAACCAAAACTTTAACACTTTCAAATTACAAAAAAAAAAATGCAAAAGCAATCCTCATTAGGCAGTTTAATCAAAGACTTTTCACATCCATTGCTCAACACACATGCATAAAGCTCAACAAATATGGTAAACAGAAGCTCATCCGTACATGTCCGATTCAAAAGAATAAACCTCATTGGTTCTCACACATCGAAGAATCACGATTGAGCTTCTGTTTACCATATTTGATGTGCTCGATGTATGTACTGTATATTGACGAGTGTTTATATGAATTAAAGACTAAATTAAATGTTAATTTAAATAAAGTGGTTGTGTTTCATCAAAATACTTGGCTTAAAACACTCTATTCATATTGATTACTTTTGCAATGTCTTTATGAACTTTTTGAAGCATCAAAGTTGTGGTTTCATGGACTTTCAGTGGAGGAACAACTGGGCAAAAACTGGGCAAAACAACCACAAAATGGTGACCCAGGATCAATCTTGATGCGCATGTATGTGTGGCTGAAGTACATGACGCCATAGAGTGCCCCATTTGTAATTTTAGGTTTAAGAACAGTGATCATGACATTTGTGGCCACTAAGTTCCCTCAAAGCAAGCCCACATTGACACCTGCTCTAGAAGAAAACACTGGCTGACAGTCTATATGGCAAAAGTGTGCTCGCCGGTCCCATCTGTGACAGATCTGAGGTCAGAGAGCACTGATCCCAGCACAGTCTATCCGGGCAGAACCCCGGCTGAAAATTTGGAGAAAATGTTGAAAACTTCACTCAGACGATCAAGCTCAGAGCAGGTCCTTGTGGAATGATTGGAACAATATGTGCCATGAAGGATAAAAGAAATTCCAGCCCTCTCATTGTTCACGGTGCCAAACCACAAGCAATGCAAGTTTGGCAAAAAAAAAACAAAAAAAAAAAGGATGAGGGAAAATGAAAGAGAAAAGAGAGAAGGAAGATGTGGGGAGCAGGGAAACAAACAAAAGGGAGAGAGGGGAATGTATAACCTCATTCTTTCTTCTCATGGCCACCCCGTACTCTCCTGCCGCTTATGAATGCAGTTTTATAGAGTAATGATGGTCTCTTTTCTCTTTCTAGTACTGTTTACTAAAGTAAGCATTACTATTGCTACCACTCAGAGTCGGGTTTGTTCAAATCACATGTATTAAGTTCATGCTGCACCGTTGAATTATACCTCAAATCGATTTACGATTTTCACTTGGCGGCTGATAAAACGCATGAAGGGAGAGAGGGGAATGTATAACCTCATTCTTTCTTCTCATGGCCACCCCGTACTCTCCTGCCGCTTATGAATGCAGTTTTATAGAGTAATGATGGTCTCTTTTCTCTTTCTAGTACTGTTTACTAAAGTAAGCATTACTATTGCTACCACTCAGAGTCGGGTTTGTTCAAATCACATGTATTAAGTTCATGCTGCACCGTTGAATTATACCTCAAATCGATTTACGATTTTCACTTGGCGGCTGATAAAACGCATGTTAAAATCCTATAGACTTGCACTGAAGAAATATTTGTGTGAAAATGTGGCTGTTTTATCACAGTTTTGGAGCACTCGGCTTCCCATTTAAATGCATAATTCACCCAAAAATTTTATTTTGTTATAATTTTCTCACCCTCAAGTTGTTCCAAACCTGTATGAGTTTCTTTCTTCTATTGAACACAAAAGAGGATATTTTGAAGAATGTTGGTAACCAAATAGTTAATGGTAGCCAATGTGAAATTTCAGAACATATGATTCCCAGTGTGCGCAGATTACTGAGTGCTCTGTTCGAGCGTTTACTTTTATTTATGCTTTTCATCAACTTTGTGAAAAATACTGTACTGTAATAAGAGTTACAGATGTCTAAAAGTACAAAAGTACAAATCTGTTTATGTTATTGATTTTTAAGTTTTGAATGAAAACATCTCAATATTTTAGCAAATATTATGTAAAAATAAATACAGAGTTCTGGCATGAAACTCTAGATGGCGCAGTCCGATAGGTCTAACTCAATCTGACCTAATGACATCATTATCACATGGCACAGCTGATTGGTTATCTCCTGTATCGGTAGCCAATGAGCTCGCTGCTCAACATTCAAATATATGACTAGTGCTTGCCGTAGTAGTTGCAGCTTGCTTCAGAAACCCTCCACCTTCCCCAGCTCCACCTGTATAGATCTGCTACGAGGTGATTCCTGTATGCTACATGGAGGTTATTTCATGTATGTTATATTTGCAGCAGCAATATTTCTTACATGCTCACAGCAGGATGTTGTGGATTCTGAAAGATCAGATTGCACAAGTGTGTGCAAAAAGATCTGTTTTGTGCCAGTGTGTGATAAAAACTTGGAAATGTAGCTATGCAACTACCCACAACAACTAAGAAACCATCTAAAATTACCCTAGCAACCAATCAGAACACCCTAGCAACTGCATGTAAACACCCTTGCGTCTAGTACATTTCAAAAGTTTGGGGTCATTCTGACTTTTTAAAAATAATTAATACTTGTATTCATCAAGGCATTAAATTAAACAGAAGTAAAAAATAAATAAGTAAAGACATTATAATGTCACAAATGATTTCTATGTCAAATTAATGCTGTTCCTTTCAACTTTATATTTATCAAAGAATCCAAAAAAATAATCCTATTACGGTTTCCACAAGAATATTAATCAGCACAGCTGTTGATAATAATCAACGAAACATCAAATGTTTTTTGAGCAGCAAATCAGCATATTAGAATGATTTCTGAAGGATCATGTGACACTAAAGACTGGAGTAATGATGCTGAAAATTCAGCTTTACATCACAGGAATAAATTAGATTTTTTAATATACTAAATTAGAAAACAGGTATTTTAAATTGAAATAATATTTCACAATATTACTGTTTTTACTGTATTTTTTATCAAATAAATGCAGCCTTTAAAAACATTAAAAAAAAACATATAAACTAGCGAAAAATATAACATTTTAGGCATGATAATATGAATAACCTACAAGCTGGTGTATCGATGAGAGGCCATGTTTATGGAAATATGGAGACCACACACAAAGAATATTTAAACATACCATTAGTATGACACATAACAGGAAATCCATTTATAGTTTCGGTCACTCCAGCCTCTTTCTTTTATTGTATTCTTGAAATGTAGTTTATGTTCTGTAATTTGTAACACACACTTCGCCTTGTGGATGCTTGCAACAAAAATAAGCATCTAAATACTTTAGCACACATGAGTGATCTTTATACAAATACGGTTGGATAAACATGTTTCGTCATAATTCTCCAGCGTTACCATCTGTTTGAAAGCATACAGCTGGTTATTCATTCATTTGAATAGGATTAAATGCACATAAATCACTGGAGCAAAGCAGAGTGGTTACATCTAAGTGGATTAAATGACTGAAAATCTGCAAAGGGGTAATTATATGTAACAAATAATGTAAAAATGTATCATATTTTGGAAAACTTTGGATCAAACTTTGAAATTGCCTTAATCTTTTAAACAACTCAGAGATGTTGAATCACCTCAATTTCTGCGAGGGAAGAACAAATTTATACTCGAGTGCATTGTGTATTAGGTATGTTATCGTCTTTGACAGACAGCATGTTATCAGGCCGATCTTTTATTTTTCTTCTTTGAAAGCAATGGTGTAGTCAAAACATCCGCTAGTGTGGGTTTTCCAGGAAATGCACGTAGTCTCGTAAATACTACCGTATATTGTGCATGTTATTTTTTGACAGACATTGATATTGTTATGATTCAAATGATGTGGATATGGACCGTAAGTTAATAATTATTTATTTCTTAGCCTGTGGCAAGTATTCAGTGAAGTGATCGATGCCAATGTGAGTGTTATGTCGATGTTTTTAGTTCTAATATGTGACCCTGGAGCACAAAAGCAGTTTTAAGTCGCTGGGGTATATTTGTAGCAATAGCCAACAATACATTGTATGGGTCAAAATTATTGATTTTTCTTTTATGCCAAAAATCATTAGGATATTAAGTAAAGAACATGTTCCATGAAGATAGTTTGTAAATTTCCTACTGTAAATATATCAAAACTTAATTTTTGATTAGTAATATGCATTGCTAAGAACTTCATTTGGACAACTTTAAAGGCGATTTTCTCAATATTTTGATTTTTTTGCACCCTCAGATTCCAGATTTTCAAATAGTTGTATCTCGGCCAAATATTGTTCTATTCCTAACAAACCATACATCAATGGAAAGATTATTTATTCAGCTTTCAGATGATGCATAAATCTCAATTTCGAAAAATTGACCCTTATGACTGGTTTTGTGGTGCAGGGTCACATATACGTGAGGGGTGAACTATATGAGTGTTATAAAACATGCTGGAGATGTTCGAAATGCCTTTTGCGTAGTTCATTGTACACATTTTACGGAATGAAGTTTATATTATCGCTTAAATAAATTACACGTTACTCAGAAGTTGACATGTTTGTTAGTCAAAAATGTTGCATTTAGCTGTTGCATTTAGCTGTTGCAAAAGTTCATATCTTTTTACCGGAAAAGGAGTGGTTTTGATGCACAAATGTGTTTTTATTGTCTCTTATAACAAAATATATTTTATTTAAACCTAGAAAATGCAGATCCTGCTGTAAATAACCGGAGGGAAAAAAAAAGATTACACTTTAGCAGTTTGGACTCCTATAAATAAATCAACAGATTTTTAGGCTTCACCTATGCTATTTGCTGAGCATGCTTGTATTTCGACAGGTGGACAATGACACCATCTGGAACGAGATGCACACGTCCACAGCGTCCCGCCTGGCAGCCGGGAGCGTGACAGAGCTGGCCTTCAGAGTGGCTAAAGGAGAGCTTAAGGTCTGTGCAAAACAATATCCACAACACTGTTGGTCAAATGCTGCTTCTTAGATCAAATGAGTACAGAATAACTGACGATGAAACATTGTGCTACTGATAATTAATGCATTCATTTTCATTAATTCAGTGATCCACATGTACATACACTCATGTATCTTAGCAGCAGCTTGTCTGTGGCACTGCCAGCAAAGGAACATTCTTTGCACCTTGTTTACCCCTAAACAGTTCATAGTACTATCTTAAGGGTATATATTACTTCTCTAAGGTACTAATATGCACCTTTTATGAGTAGATATGGTACAAAGCTGTCCTTTTAAAGGAACTGCCCAGTACTTTTCAGGTGTGCAGCAACTTTCTTACACAACTGGTTAAGGATCTTATTAAGAAACAGCCCAATCTGATGTTACTAGAACTGAAACAAACCCTGAACTCTGTCATAACTGTGCACAGAGTTGATGAAGCTACTTTGAAACTGTAGCTTAAGAAACTACAAAATACTTATCATTTAGAATAGACCTTTTTTATCAAAAATTGTCAGCTGCAAAGTTACCATCAACATTACAACAAGAAAAAGAAAGCATGTCAGTAGCCTAAACATTTCAGTGTAAGGGTCAAAATGAATCACCGAATCATTTTTGTGACCAGTGAAACCATGCAAACAAACTGATTCACTAAATGATTCAAACTTCAGTAAGTATGAGGACAGAGTGGCTTTATTTCCTCAGCTTGCTCTGCTGTAAAGCTGCATGAGAAATGCAGTGTGATTTAGCGTTTTGTCACGCTATACTTCAACTTGTTGGAAAAAGTAGCTTGTTGCTATTTTGACTCACTACTTTCAATAAAACTGGTCTACTGTTGTGCTATCAGCTGCGCACCAACACTGGCTGTGCAGTTATAGAAAATTCAATATTATGCGTGTTCACGTTGCATTGAAATTACCATAATTACAAGATGACAACTCTGAAATAATTACTTCCTTAGGCACAGAACTTAAGCTCCAGAGTGAAATGCTTTGCATTAATTTACCTCTCACAATGCACTGAAAAAAGAAACCACACCAACTACCACTGGCTATAGTAAAACAGCATATCAAACAGAAGTATGTGTAGCATTTTGGTAAAATATTGCATGAAATGAGTCTTCTAGAACTATTTATTATAATTCTGACATGGAACAAATGCATCTTCAGTCAAAACTCTTGGACCATGTGTCAACCAATCAGAATCAAGTACTCGTTTCCTTCAGAGGGTCTCTATAATTACCGTTGCGTCAAATAAAATGTAACCAAGTAGCAAACCGACCAGATCAAGCTGATTAAGACGTGGAAAACTGTAACGACCATAAAAGAATAGTTCAATCACTAGAGTCCCCTGCTGGTAATTAAACTTAATGAAGGTTATAGGGGATGTTTCAGGGAAAGGCTTTATTGCTTTAACTGAAAGCGGAGGCCCGCTTGTTGAAGCAGTTTGGTGAAAACATGGTTTCTGTGTAAGAGGCGACTGGGAAATGCGGAGTTAATGACATGTTGGTTTCAATGTTTCAGAACGGCTTTGCTGTGGTTAGGCCACCAGGACATCACGCAGACCCGTCAAACCCCATGTAAGTCTGCCTATTACATTCAGAAATGCCTCTGTACATAATTTTTTCGAGTTTAAGGATGTGCGTCTAGTGGTGGTTGCAGGTTCGAGCCTGGCCTGCGTCACGTTTCGATCATCTTTTAAAGTTTTGTTGTAGTTTTGCCCTTTTTTATTAAAAAATTTCTGTATAGTTTTTATTCATTTTTATTTCAGTTTTAGTTGTAGTTATTTTAGTACATGTAGTGAAAATGAGAAATGTTGCCTTGGAAAGTTTTTTTTTTTTCATTGGTAACACTAGTTTAGGGACCAATTCTCACTATTATCTAGTTGCTTATTAGCATGCCTATTATTAACATATTAATTAATACTTATAAAGCACATATTCTGCATGACCATATTCTACATTCTTAATCCTACCCAAATTTAACAACTACCTTACTAATTATTAATAAGCAGCAAATTAGGATTTTATTGAAGCAAAAGTCGTAGTTAATGGTTTGTTAATAGCGAGAACTGGACCTTAAAATAAAGTGTGACCATTTTATTTTATTTCACGTTTATTTTTTATAAAGAAAAATGTAATGGTTTTAGTTTTAGTTAACTAGAATAATCCTGTATAGAGTATGCTGTGCATGTGAGTTTGACTCTGTTTAGTGTGGTCAAGAAGTGAAATTCTTCTTCCTGTACATGTGAGTTGATGGCATGTTTTGAGCGGTGTGTTTGTGTGGCGTGTGTGTGTGTGCAGCGTCAGCATGCCTGTCTGTGTGTGTGTGGATATTTATGGCTTGATAATGAAGGTTTGGAGGGAGCGGGAGGAAAGACGCTGATTTATTTCACCAGTTATCGCTCTTTCCAGATTTCTCAGCGCTTCACCTCGCTCCCTTACTTCCCAGTGCATATCTAATCATCCACTGGAAGTTTCCACATGTTTATTATTTGTGTATATGGACAGTATTTAAATGCTTTTAGATTACTTCAAGAAGTTATAGTCAAAAATACTAACAGCAGACCTGCACATCCGCTGAGTTCAGTTGCGTGAGAAAATGTGTTTGCTTACTACATAGTTTTGTTGTTCCGTTTCCAAATCCTCTGGCATTTAATGTGGTTGGATGCTTCACTTTATCTCTTTCTCTCTCTCTCTCTCTCTCAGGGGTTTTTGTTTCTTCAACTCGGTGGCGATTGCTGCTAAGCAGCTCCAGCAGAAGCTCAGCGCCAGTAAAATCCTCATCGTTGACTGGGTGAGAGCTCTAAACTCAGCTCATTTTAGTTCTAGGGATGCGAATTCTTGTAGAAACCAATAAGCACTTAATTAGTTTCATGTCATGGCCAAGAACTGATATGATGGCTGATACTTGAAAACCATACTATTATGTCTGTTCAATTTACACTATCCCTGTTATGCAAATTAAAACAATAATGCTGCTATCAAGAGTTTATTAGTTAATGCAGCACAACAGTGCTGACAATAGAGAACAATTTATTTCAATTATATATCCAATAGTGGTGGATTACATACAGTATATCGGCAAAAAAACAACAACTAATATTCTCTTATAACCAATATATCACCAATACACCTGTGTATATTATAGTGTATAGTTGGCTATCAATGCTAAATGATTACTAAAAAGCACTACAGTTATTCTGGCATGTTTAAGTGAAGCCTATTTCAACATATTGTTCTAATGAATCAATTGAACTGATGTGAATCTGAGTTACTAAACTGTATTGGTTACCAAGCTGAATTGATTGAGTTTATCAGTCACTGAATCAAATCACTTCCAGATTTTGGTCTTTTTTCGTCCTAATAGACCAGATGCGAAGGTAATGCTAATGTTAACTGAACAACATCCAAAATGCTTCCATTAAAAGCTAACAAGTGTTAAAGTAACCTGATTATGTTTCATCAATCACGCAGGATGTTCATCATGGCAACGGCACCCAGGAAATCTTCTACAACGACCCCAGCGTCCTCTACATCTCTCTCCATCGCTATGATAATGGAAACTTCTTCCCCGGGAGTGGTGGAGCAGCAGAGGTTAGTACGCAGAGATTATTGATTATAACATACGAGCAAATACAACACTCCTTGGTTTGTTTATTGCTGTGAAACTCTATAAGCTCACAAAAAAAGTCTTCGACTCAAGGGTTTCAATGTGTCACTCTTGCGCAGCTGTGTTCCAAACCAGAACTGGTTGCATCATGGGCTTTAGCACAAAAGGATCACAGTAAGAGGAGGGTTTTCAGTGTTTAACAGCAGTGCCGTGTTTGATTTGTCCCAGGTGGGTTCTGGGGCCGGTGAGGGCTTCAACGTTAATGTGGCGTGGACCGGTGGTCTGGAACCTCCCATGGGCGATGCTGAGTACCTGGCTGCCTTCAGGTATTAGTTTCACTTGGTTCATTTGCTGATTTAAACTAACTGAGGGGAACAATTCAACAGGGACAGTACTGAGTGGAAACCAGGGGTGTCCAATCCTGCTCCTGGAGGGGCAACATCCTGCAGAGTTTAGCTCCAACACACTTGTCTGGAAGTTTCTAGTCATCCCTGAAGACCTTGATTAGCTGGTTCAGGTGTGTTTAGAGTTGGAGCTAAACTCTACAGGACAGTGGCTCTCCAGGAGCAGGACTGGACATCCCTGATATAAACTGTGCCATATCTGAATATGTGACCCTGCACCACAAAACCAGTCATAAGGGTCAATATCTAGAAATTGAGATTTATACATCATCTGAAAGCTGAATAAATAAGCTTTCCATTGATGTATGGTTTGTTAGGAATAGAACAATATTTGGCCGAGATACAACTGAATCTGAGGGCGCAAAAAAATCAAAATACTGAGAAAATCGCCTTTAAAGTTGTCCAAATGAAGTTCTTAGCAATGCATATTACTAATCAAAAATTAAGTTTTGATATATTTACAGTAGGAAATTTACTAAATATCTTCATGGAACATGATCTTTACTTAATATCCTAATGATTTTTGGCATAAAAGAAAAATGGATCATTTTGACCCATACCATGTATTGTTGGCTAATGCTACAAATATACCCCAGCGACTTAAGACTGCTTTTGTGCTCCAGGGTCACATATATGAATCCATTTTCACTTAAATAAATGGTTTTGGTTTCATAACAAGTGAAGAAATTGGAAGATACCGTGATTGTTTAATGAAATGAATTTGCTGACTGAAGAGTTTGGATAAGGTCTAGTAATAATATACAAATCTGTGATGCACCTAAATTCCGGCAACCAAAAATATTCAGCCAAGCAGCAAAAAAAATATTAATTTTTGGGTTTTGGAGGGTCGAAACCATTGAACAAAATTGTGCCATTTAATGAGCATTTTTCAATTGTGTCAGTGTCTGTTTTCTGCACAAAACATGGATACGCTATAAATAAGGAAACATGTGAGCAGTGTGGACACACTTCACAATGACCAAAATCGATGCTAGAAATATGCAAAAAAAAATTCAGCTGAAATATTGCTTATTGCCGAAGAGCTATTTCAACAGGAGCCAGTTACATAAACATAGCCACCGTGTTAAGACTATGCCTTAAGAACTAGTCGAGCAAACTAGCAGTGTCAAATTAGATCAATCTACTTTTTTATATAACTGATTTCAAAAAAACATTATGACAAGTCTTCAAGAAAACAATTAGAGGACTTAATGCCCGTTCACATCAAGGGTGGTAACGATAACAATATATTTCGCTCTAAATCATTCTAAAATCATTGTAAATGTAAAAGAATAGCCAAGCCCCCACTCCAACTATAATGGTACAGAAGAAAAATAACTTTGGAATCACTTTCAGAACAAATTTTTTTCAGCTGATGAATGATAAAAACATTGACAGCCAATCAGAATCCATCCTGCTTTAAACCCCAACAAGCCAATGTAAACATCTCAATTGCATTGTCTGTAAATTTGCAACAAACAAATGCACAGAGGTTTTACTTTTTATTAGTGGCCTTTACAGAACATTCTCAAAACAACCTAAGAGGACAGTTAAAAAGGGCTTATTAAACAAAATATATTTATTTCAAATGGTACCATAGTATAACCGGGTATCTGCAGGATTTTTAAAATCAAATTTAAGACCTTTAAAGACCTTTTTAAGACCTAAACTTCACATTTCAGTCTTTAAACATTTAAAAAAAAAAAAAGGAATGAGTCAAAAGTATCAATTATTATATTAATTTAAACAATTATTATCAATCAATTATATTAAATTACATATATCTTAGTGTCTTTATTTGTTTAGATTTTTATAATGCATTAGCTTCTTGTCGATCCACTGGTTCACATTTAAAAATATGTAGCAAAAATAGCAGATGGGCTTATTGAAAAAGCAAATTCGTTCTCTGCCAGCAGGTTTCTACGGTGGCCGAGAAGTGCAGAGCAAATCACAATTCTGAAAACAAAATAACAAATTACAAACACAAATGCAAGTCTAAAAAACAAAATAACAATTCAGAAAGCACAACAACAATTCAGAAAACATTATAACAAGTCAGAAAACACAATGACAATTTCGAAAACAAAATAACAAGTCAGAAAACACAACGACAAATCAGACAAACCGGAAGAGGTAGGTATAGTTTGAGACAGCGCCATTGGTTTGGGATTACTCACTTTTACTAATTTTTAGACTTGCATTTGCGTTTGTAATTTGTTATTTTGTTTTCAGAATTGTGATTTGCTCTGCACTTCTCGGCCACCGTAGGTTTCACTTTCGGAACGGCAGAAATATAGCGGTTTCCAACGACTGCTACACAAAGCAGCGCAGCGCCTGACTTTGAAACGTGCAGCTCTCAAGTTTATTCAGTGAAATCACAGCCTTTTGAAGTTTAATCGACGTCATATCATATCATTAATCTACATAGCAATTTTTGTCTTTCCTTCCCCAAATTTAAGACCATTTATAATTAAGTCTTTTTGTAGCATTTAAGAGTTTTCATGGCCTTAAATTTAAACAATTAAACTGAGGACCTGCGGAAACCCCAAGAACAGGAACCCCCTAAGAACCCACAGTTCAGTGCAAACATTTCTGTCATGCATTTGGCAAAAATATTTTGTTTACTATGCATTTTACCTTTGAAATTTGAGGCAGTTGCCCAACCCTGGTCTAGACACTAATATAATTTTAGTTGTCTTTGTAGTTATTATTCTTGGGACAGGAACAGGCCTATAAAAGGGATAGTTCACCCAAAAATGAAAATACCCTCATGTCGCTCCAAACCTGTATGAGTTTTTTGAACAACGCTGGTAATCAAACAGTTGATGGTCCCCATAGTATTTATTTCCCTACTATGGAAGTCAACGGGACCAACAACTGTTTGGTTCATTTTTGGGTGAACTATAACTTTTAATGGGATAGTTCACCTTCAGTTGCTAGTCCCCATTGACTTGCATAGTGTTTTCCCCCCCAATGGGGACCAGCGAATGAAGGTAAACTATCCCTTTAATTTTAACTAGTCTAAGCTGTTCATGCAACCGGTTTGATTTAGCAAATATTTCTTCACCAGAGGAAATAATGCCCTGAGCAGCATACCAAGATTAATTACCCAATTGCTCACATTTTATTACCCAAACTTTAATTTCAGTTTCGGTTTTTGGCTAAATGCAAACTTTAATTTTAGTTTCAGAGTTTCTAATAAAACATTCTGCATATCTGTTATGGTCTTGTTAGTTTCCACACCTCATTTCGCAAACATAAAAATTTAGCATTAATCCTTATGGTCTGTGGTTGTGCTAGTATTTCGTACACGCAACGATAACCGAAAACGCTGTCTTGGGAGTAAGCTGGTGTTAAGTGTTGTGTCAAGGACACAATGGTGTTAGCAAACCCAGCAACCCTTCTATTCAAGGATCTTCCGTGGTCCAGATGTTGAACCACAACCCCACCACAATGCACTTTATATGTCTTGTAAAGTCCTTACATGGCCCGATTATCATCAGGTCAGAGTTCAGGAAGAAGCATTTGACCTTCCATCATGTTTCGCCAAAGAACCTGGTCTTCTTCATATGGGCATCCTTCATTATTGCACTGGTTTCTCTCCTGCGTTCTTGTGCTCTAGTGTTTGCACTGAGACCTTTGGGATTGTGTCAGGAATTGGACGCCCGATCATATTGTGATCACTCTTTTAAGTTGGACTTCCCCCTCCGCCGTCTGCCAACCTGCATCAGTCAAGGTGTTTATTGTAGTCTGAAACGCTTGCAGGGCTTCAAATGATTCCCAGCTTTTTCATTGTGTTGGGATCAAACTCAAGCTTGGCCACTTCCACATGCCGCCGGTGGGTGGTTTTATTAAACGTTTTTAGCATTTTTTGAAGGAAGCCTGCTTCAGGATTTTGGTTTCGGTCCAGGGAGGCATTGTTAACCACACGCTAACCAGGATCCCTGTGTGAAAGTGGGTGGGCGTCTAAAAAGACCTTTAAGATCTTTCAGGACTGAATGTTTTGGGAATGTTCTGACTCTAACCAGCCTGTCTCTCTTTGACTTCCTGTGTCTTGTACACTCTTTCTCGTCCATTTATTGGTCTTTAATAAATGCTTCGCTCTCTCTCTTTCCCTCCACCCAATCTAAAACCGTTCCTCTCCACACAGGGGAGCGTGGGTAGTTTTATTGGTCTAAAGGGGAGGCGGAGTTGGTTACAACGGTGAGGGTAGGCGGAGAGGGGGGGGAGTAGTGGAGGATCCTGGGTAATTAAGGCAAATGGCTCCCAGATGGCGGGCTGTCAGTGACGTGAGGAGAACGACAAGCTCCAAATGGGAACCAGATGCAGCGGCGGTCGCTTTGAACTCGCCGGTGATGCGCTCAAGAGGCGAAATCACTGGCAGGGCTGGCGTCCTCCGAGCGCAAGAAAGAGGGAGACGAGGAAAAAGAGGAAGGAAGAGAGAGCGAGAGACGGTTATTAACAGAACCTAATTCAAACACTTTAGTCACTGGGATTGTCACACTGTGCTTCGGCCAGCTTAATTTTTGTAAAATTTGTCAAATATAAGAGGAACGCCACTAGACTTTTTCTTCTTTTGAGTCGTCTGGCCAAGTTTTTCCACATTTTTGGAAAGGCTTTGATCAGAACTGATGTTAAACTGACAAAACAATCTATCAGAAACTATTTAACAGCAATTTTTCCAAAATCGACTTCTTAAAGATAATTAAAGATAAATAGTTTTGTCCGAGTATTGTTAATAGAAAATTTAAATATTTATTATTAGTGTATTTTATAATACCAGCATTCATAAAAAATATATAATAAGTATTTCCGTCATAATAAATATTTGAGATGCCTCAGAAGACCCCTTAAAAGAATAGTTCATGGAAAAATTGGTAACACTTTAGTATAGTAAATTTACTATTAACTAGTTGCTTATTAGCATGCCTATTATTAAGATATTGGCTGTTTATTAGTATAAAGCACATATTCTGCATGAGCATATTCTACATCTCTAACTCTACCCAATACCTAAACTTAACAACCACCTTACTAACTATTAATAAGCAGCAAATTAGGAGTTTATAGAGGCAAAAGTCATAGTTTGTTAATGGCGAGAAATGGACCTTAAAATAAAGTGTGAACAATTAAAATGACAATTAATTTACTGTGCCCCGTGACTTTATTTTGTGGAACACAAGAGGAGATGTTTTAGGGAATGTAGTTTGGTTGTTTTTTCATGTAATTGCAATGAATTTTCAAGCTTCAAAAAAGACCCAAAAGCGCCATAAAGTATCATACATGCAGTTCATGTGACTCACTATATTCTGAAGCCAGAAATGGACTAAAACTGAATTTGTTATTAACTGACAATCTTGACATCTGCCCCGGCTTTGGTTGGCGAGATCAACAGAGAAGTAAGAACGAATCATTCTTGTGAGTTGGATTGTTTTGATGAATCGGATGATTCACGTTCATAACAGCAGTCCGAATGATACGATTCATTTTTCGAGTTCAACTCACTAGGGATCCAGGTGCAGTGGTTAATGGCTGAAGATTATCTATAACTAATAATCTAAATTTCCTTACTCCATGGAAGAAAGAAGGTCATTTGGGTTTGGAATGACATGAGTATGAGGAAATGATAGCTATTAACCAGCCATTTAACTATGGTTTAAAATTGTGCATAAAGATTTTGAAAGAAAATGCAGTCTTATAAGTGCAGATATAACATTAACCGAATGTTTTTTTTATGCATTGTTCTGATGTTTAGGACGGTGGTGATGCCCATTGCTCAGGAGTTTTCCCCAGACGTCGTGTTGGTCTCTTCAGGGTTTGACGCTGCAGAAGGACACCCTGCTCCTTTGGGAGGATACAAAGTCACAGCTAAATGTAGGATATTTTTTTGAAATATTATCTTGCGTATGAAATATAAACTCTTATAAACAGCTTCAAATTGAATTGAATTTATATACATTTGTAAACAGTCTCAGAAAATGTACTGTGACGCTAATGTTGTCATTGGTCTCTCCGCAGGTTTCGGCTTTTTGACTCGGCAGTTGATGGCGTTAGCAGGAGGACGTGTGGTTCTAGCATTAGAGGGAGGTCACGACCTCACAGCCATATGTGATGCTTCTGAGGCCTGTGTCAGCGCTCTGCTGGGACTGGAGGTCAGATTTCATGCAGAAGCAAACACCATCACAAAAATTCCTTTATTATAGCTTTATAAGCCTGTTATACCATTGCTGGTAACAAATAATCAGCACTGTTGTTATGTAAGGGTGTTAACATGACTTTTCTGGCAAAGTCTCATATGACGTGCTCTTTGTTTTAAAGGAAAAACAAAACTCCCCTTTTTCATCTCATTTTCTCTTAGGAGCCTCTTCCTGAGTCGACTCTCCTCCAGACGCCCAATGCCAACGGAGTGCTTTCACTCCAGAGAGTGCTACAAATACAGAGTGAGTGTCTCGCACTCCTCTCGTCCCAGTCTGCCTCTAATTATCCTGAAATGCACTGACTTCCTGGTAGCACACATTTGTTGTAATTAATTATAATCATGATCGTCGTTGTTTCACCACATGGTTCCTGCTGAGCCAAAATATTCCTATAAAAACAATGGTATGGGATGCACTACGTGGCGTACACGACCTCTCTCATGCTTTCTGTGTGCTACTGACAGACATCTATTTACAGTTTTCAACATTGTTGTTGGTTAGACTTTTAATTGACATTTTAAAACCTGTATGACTTTGTTTCTTCAGTTGAACACAAAAAGAAATGCAGAATGTCCAAGCTTCTTTTTCCTGACCACAAAAGTTTACAATGATTCATACAGTTGAGGTCCAATAAGCACATGTTTTATTTGTATTATTATTTTAAATGTAGTCTGTATGAGTTCATACAATATCTGACCAAAAAGTCACCATTATCTTTCCCTCTGCTATAGTTCTTCTCCAACAACATGGAAACCTCATTGGCTCTTGCACATCAAGCTAGCACGTTTGAGCTTCTGTTTACCATATTTGATGTGCTCTATGTGTGTGCATTGAACAATGTTTATATGTGAAGAAAAGCCTAAATTAAATCTGTTCAGTTTATAAAGTGATCCAGAAGACTTGGCTTAAGGATTACTTTTACAATGTCTTTATGAACTTTTTAACACGTCAAAGGTCTGGTTACGTGGATTTCAATGGAGGGACAGAAATCTCTCAAGTTTCATTAAAAATGTTTTAGTTTGTGTTTCCAAACATCTTATAGGTTTGGAATGACATGAATATGAGAAAATAATGACAGAATTGTCTTTTTTGAGAGTACTATCCATATTCTTCACATAAAGGCTTCAGAATACAGCACACAAGTTGTATGCAGTATTTTGCAATTGCTTTTTTATATTTTCATTTTATGGAAATGAGCAGCTTTGACATTCTGCTAAAGATCTATTTTTGTTATTCATTTCAGATAGAAAGTCATGCAGGTTTGGAATGACATAAGGAATGGTAAATTATGTCACAATTTAGTCCTGTCTGTTAATTCTGAGATTTCTGTCTCAGGTCAGTATTGGTCGTCACTGAAGCCGTTGATGGGCACAGTGGGGATGTCGTTTCTGGGTGCCCAGAGGAAAGACTGTGAGGAAACAGACACAGTGAATGCGATGGCATCCCTCTCCGTGGGGGTCTTGACCAACAAAAGGTGAGATCTGATGAAGAAATTGTGCTAAATGCAATTCATACTATTTGCCACTACTCTATAGTGCTCAATCCTGTTCTGTTTTGTACACAATTTGTTCTGTAATTTTCAGTGTGACCAAGGTTATTATTGTTAACTGAAACTATTAAAACATTTGTATTAAAAGGGTCATCGGATCCCCATTTTCCACAAGTTGATATGACTCTTTAGGGTCTTAATGAAAAGTCTATACCATACTTTGGTTAAAATTTCTCAATGGTAGTGTAAAACAACACCCTTTTACCCTGTCAAAAACAGCTCTGTTCACAGTGACCCGTTTCAGTGCATGTCCCTTTAAATGCTAATGAGCTCTGCTCACCCCGCCCCTCTCTAAAATACTAAAATATGAGTATATGACAGCTGCATTCTACAACCGAATTTACTCTAATTCAGGTGTTTTTGCAGAAAGGGGCTAATCTGTAATCCAATTCATGTTGATGTTTTCACAGGTGCTTGTTTCTCTTCTAATCTATGCTGGGCTTCAGAGCTTTTGTTGCATTCTTGAGCATAAAAACCATATGCTGGTTGTTCGATGCTAAACATAAACCTAATTTTTTTTACAGCCTTGCTGATGAACCCATGGAGCACGACGAAGACTCCCTTTAAACCAGGTCTTTACACGTCTGAAACTGTCCAGTATCAAATGGAGCTCCACACCATGTGAACGAGCCGTGCCTCAGGGGGCGTGGCTTCCTCATCATGGCCCCTCCCCCAAGACACCAACTCAACCCTGACCACCAGCGCAGCGCGGCTAAGCTAACAACCCGCAGCCACAGTTCTGCCGGGGCTCTGGGATCCACGTCATCTTCTCCATTCACGTACCACACAAACAAACACACTAGGACGCATGAGTGTGTTTTTAACATTCACTAAAAGAATGTGCTGAAGGACTCCAGTCGCTCAGATATTCACCTCCGGTGCCTCAAAAGAGACTATTTACTTTAGCTGGAGATGCGAAAGCAGAGTTGCAGGAACGGTTGAGGATTATTTAACCTTTTTTAAAGGCAGCCCACTTGCGGACTGTGCTGGGAGAAAATGAGGGGTTTCCTTGCACCTGGCAACCACAAAGTGGCTTCACTCTATGATGTCATTACTATTAACCACTAAAGAAGAAGAAAAAGAAGAAAACGATCTCGACAACTGTGGGTTTTATCAATCGTATTTTTTTTTTTTGCACTGTGCATTCCATAATGTGAACCGTGAAATTTTCCAAACCTCTGGGAAAAGAAAGATCTAATTCTGGATCTAGTTTTACGCTTAATGTTCTTTTTTTTTTTAAAGTGAAGCAAAAAACAGTTGCATTCTTGTCAAGTTCAGTTACATTCTACCTGCATTCCCAGCATGAAGGCTGTAAACTTGAATACTTCGAAATACTTATTTGTACTGATTTTGTGTATCTGATTTAACGCCTCATGTTTTTAAAGGCCAGAGGGACAAGCCAGCTATGAGCAAGTTTATTGCACACACCCACCCACCTAAAAAAACACACATATACGCCCATATTTCTGTGCACACATTGCATCCTTATGACCACTGTACAGTTAATATCGTGGACACAGGAAGTGCTTAAGCTTTCCCTAGACTAACTGTAACGCAAAGTAGCTCAGTCTCTTTTTAGACCAAACTAATTTGAATATGATGTCTATATATGTGTGCGTGTGTATCTATCAGTCATATCTTTTATCTGTTCTGTACTCACAATCAAACCTCGACTGACCACAAGCAAAAGCGCAAAACGACATTTGAATGGGCTCTCGCGGCCACTTTAATAGCAGCGTGTGAAATTCTTTTATAACACAATTGTCTGTCGTTTTCACGGATCTTTGTTGTTTTGGACGAGGGAAATGACCAGCCTGTTAACCTGTGGAGAAGACATGTCTCAAGTTGGTGCGCAGTTAATGATTTTCTTTCATTGCTGCGCACTTACTGGCGTTTTTTTTTTATGAGGGATGCATTGTTTTTGGATGGCGTTCTGTTTTCCACAGCCTGCACATAGATGTCTAATTCACACCAGTTGTGTGGATGAAGTTTATGGTGATATTAAATATGTCTCTCAGCCACTGGGATTCACATTTACGCCATCATCAATAAACCGAAATTAATATCACACCAAAACGGACAGACCTCGTTAAATACTGTGCCACTCATCAGCATGTTCGGTTTCAAAAACGTATCATTTCTAAACCAAAATCTGTCTAGTTGCGTAATCCTGATGGGCCAAACAGCCAAAAATAATGCGCTGGAAATAATGCTGTACCACATGCTGGATGGTCATCGGTCGGGACGTTACATTTAACTAGTAGCACAGTTCATGGTGCTTGTTTGACTTTTGCGTTGTGCTTTTGGCTTAATGAACGCCCCGACGGCTCGCGTTCGCGTTTCGGATTTGTATTGATATTCATTGACCAAATCTCATGTTTTTGAGTTTGTGTTTACCTCTTTACCTCTGCATTCACAATCAAATTCACACGTTAACATGCTTTCCTGCGTTCACTACAAGAAACAATCGTGACCTGGCAAATTGCTGTTATTGCGAACATGTGGAATAAAAATAGAGGCATTCCGTGTGCGATTTTTCTGTAATGCTGCAGATAAAAGTGCCCAGCACCTGCCCGACCAACAAGTCTTTAATTCATCCCTTTCTTGCCTTGTACCAAACCACTGTGGCTAGTTCTACGTTTGTATGATTCCATGTAAATAGCACCATCCATTTATCGACGTTTTGTGAGGTTTCATGAAGACCCTGGGTAGCCTTTGCCCATCAGACCCCCGTGAAGACTGTTGTAAAATAGAGCAGATGCAGACGTTCACTCATTAATGAAGTCATAGCTAATCGCTCAGAACTAGCGGCGGTCTTGCTGCGTATTTATAGTACTTCAAACAGTGCACTTGCATTTCACCATCAACAAAACATGCCTGTTCATCTTCAGACAAATTGAAAACGACTTGGTTAGCGACAAATCGACAGCACTTAGTGACAGTTTCGTTGGGACTGTTGCTAAATACAGATTTTGACATTCCGTTGCAGTTTGGACACTGATATGCGTCTTACATACAGTTCTATTTTAGTGGTGTATTTTTACAATAGCTTTGTGCATTTGTACTGTTTTGATATACCTCTCAAAGCGCTTGTATTCTCTCGTCTCTCCGAACTCTTTATGAAGTAAAACGGGGAGAGTGTGCTGTCGTCATCGCTCGTGTAAAAGCAAACCAGCGTCGTCTTAATTCTTCTGTCATTTATTCCCTTTTGCCTTCTTGTATGGACAATGTAAATAGTTTCCTATGACCAAAAGACTTCACCTACGTACCTTGAAGTACTTTACCTGTCGACCCCACTAACTGGATCTGTTTAACAAAGCATAACAGAAATGATGTTTTCCAATCTTCCTTGTTTATTTCCCGTTTCTTTCATTTTTCTGTGTATAGAAAAGAATGTCTATTTTGTACTGTTTCTATCTTCCTAATTAAAAAGAAAAGCATTTTTTGTTTGCCTGAATTTCATTCGGCTTTGTCATTTTTATGTGTACACTACTGCTTAAAATGTCTGAACATCAAATACCAGCGAGCTGAAAGAAATCCAATCCATTCGCGCACATCCATTTGTTTTCTATTAATTGAGAAACATTCACTCGGATCTACAGCATGCTGTTTTTATTTTAGCATAGCAATGCTGTTAGAAAAATATAAGATAACTATAGTCCCTGCTAGAAATGACTACAATGCCAGCATTTTCCACCAAAACACAGCTGCTGCTGCTGCTGCTGTTGTTATTACTAACTTGTAAAACTTGGGAAAAGCCACTAAATTCTTCAAAATAAAAAAGCTTACTCTAAAAGCATATCATGCTGTTTAAAGATGCCATATTTTAAGTTTAACATTATGGTGCCATGATACATTTTCAAAGGTGTCTCATGCATCTATTGAAGCAGAATTGGTACAATTAAATATTGCACATGCACACAATCAAAGAAATCAGAAATACTTGATTAATGAGTGGCCTGAAGCCACTAGATCGCCAATACTGGTTCATCTGGTCACTGGTTTCTTCTGTTTTATTCTAACATGTTTAGGCTTCTGCTTTAGTTTGGGCCACTATGGCCGTGTGTTTTGCACTTCGATTCAAACATACGTCTTGTAATTGCTTTACCTAATTACACGTAATAAACAGCAGAACGCGGCACTCTTGTGGTGAGGCGGTCTGTCTTATTTCTTGCCAACCAGACATATATTTATTGAAGCCTCAAACTAAAAAGGATAATGCCAAGTTTATGTGCAGACCAAGTTGAGCTGACATTTTATTCTAATTAACTAATTTGCGGTGTCTAGATTCTAAAGAACTCGTACGAGCAGAACAAGAACACCTTGATCTATCACTTAAATCTTTTTAGATTAATTTCTGGGTTTTTTACATTTCTAATTTGTTAAATGATTTATTTTTCTTCAAATGTTTTTTTATTGCACTAAAAGGCATAAACATACTTGTTTTAAAGTACCTCTCATGACTCGTAACTTAAAGTGATAGTTGCCCCAAAAATGAAAATTCTCGCCCTCATGTCGTCCCAAACCCGTAAGACCTTCGTTTATCTTCGGAACACAATTTAAGATATTTTTGATGAAATCCGAGAGCTTTCTGACCCTCCCATAGACAGCAACACAACTGACACGTTCAAGGCCCAGAAAGGTAGTAAAGACATCATTAAAATAGCCCATGTGACATTAGTGGTTCAGCCTTAATTTCATGAAGTTACGAAAAAAAAAATTTGTGTGCAAAGAAAACAAAAATAATGACTTTATTCAACGATTTATTCTATTCCGGGTCGGTCTTCGCCGAGAGAATCACGATGCATGCGTGTGGTGCTGCTGACGCAGGAGCCGGCGTTCTGACGTAGAACCTGGATACACTGGATACACATTTAAAACATAAAACAGTTTTCGCGAACGTCTTAAGATTTCGACAGAGAGGATGACTTATTTATGCAAACCAGAATATACAGACGATGAACTCTCATGAACGTCGAAGACGTCAAAGAACATTTTTAAAGTCGTTACTTTTGTTTTCTTTGCGCACAAAAAGTATTCTTGTAGCTTCATAAAATTAAAGTTGAACCACTGATGTCACATGGACTATTTTATCGATGCTCTTGCTACCTTTCTGGGCCTTGAACAAGGTAGTTGCGTTGCTGTCTATGGAGGGTCAGAGAGCTCTCGGATTTCATCAAAAATATCTTAATTTGTGTTCCGAAGATGAACGAAAAGAATTTTTGGGTGAACTATCCCTTTAATGCATTTGCTAATCACCAAGTCATATTGCAGAATTAATCTTACAGCTTTATTTTTTTTTTTTTAAACGTAACAACCTTTACATTTAGACGAATGTGGTATATACCATGACACAATTGTTACACTGTCACAGAAGCAATAATGTTGGCTAATATACAGCATAAATGACCAGCGCAACAACTCTGAAATGATCAGATCTGTATATCAGGGAATATAGTGAGTCTACGTAGCATTTTTCCATCAGGCTAGCTGGTATAGGTTAGCTATAAGTGTAGAGTCCTTATGACAGTCAATGTCTGCCTCTGCGTGTCCATACATAATCAAAGTCAGTGAACGCTGATCACAAATCAGCACTCTGCCACTCAATCGGAGTCATTTCCAGAGTTTGATTCAGAGTTGTGTGGAATAATCTGAACAATCTTAGTTCCTTTAGATGGTGGAGGGTCATTTTTTTGCATTTTGTTGTATTGCTCCATTAGAAAAGGGAAGGATTGTTGGCTTGTAGTTGAAGCATGATGTCCTCTGGGATAGTGGGATACTGTTGAGACGGACAGAAGGGGAAGAATATGTCAGAAATGTGCTTTATAATCAAAATGGCTAAGTAAAACATTTATATGGACAGTATATAGTCATTTGTATATGCATGGGTTGTTCACATATAGCTTTTGTGGTCAAAGAAAAAAATATTTAATGACTACATGGAATATTTTGCTATTTAAAAAATGCATTTGTCACATACCATTTGAAAATGGACTTGTGAAGGTGTAAGGGTTTGGATTAAAGACAAACATATTGGATGAAACATTGAGGAGAGGAAGTATTTGATGTCTGGATCTGGACTACTTCATAAACAGCTTTATTTAAATTGCTCAATCAGTTTGCTGGAATCTGCATCTCATCTCAGCCTAAAGCGAAAGAATCCTTCCCATGAGCACCGGCAAACACGTTGACTCATCTCGCATAAACGAAGGACATTGCTAAAGTAATACAGTATGTGGTGAATATGACTAGTCCAAAGAAACCACAACCCAAAAGAAATCCTGACAAAAAGCCGTAGTTTTTTCATTTTTTCACAAATCAGCCAATCAAGGATGACTAAAAAAAACTATACCTGAAGATGCCATTTTAATTGATTAAAATTATGATAACTACCAGAACTGGTTAATAAAAGTGGTACAAAGTTGAACTTCAATGGTCTTTGAATAGGGTTTTTGTTATTTGTAGTGCTGTCAAACGATTAATCGCGATTAATCGCATCCAAAATAAAAGTTTTTGTTTACATAATATATGTGTGTACTGTGTATATTTATTATGTATATATAAATACACACACATGCATGTATATATTTATTAAAAAAACTTTTTTATACGTTTATATATTAAATATATTTATATATAATATAGATTATATGAATATAAATATATACATGTAAATACATCTAAATATTTTCAAAATATATACTGTATGTGTGTGTAATCATATATGCATAATAAATATACACAGTGCACCCACAAATATTATGTAAACAAAAACTTTTATTTTTGATGCGATTAATCGCGATTAATCGTTTGACAGCACTAGTATACATAATAAATATACACAGTACATGCGATTAATCATTGCCCAGCACTAAAAAAAATAATGTTTGTTATACTTTATTTCAATTAAAGTTTATTTTATTTAAATGATCATTTATTTTTTTCTATTCTATTCTGATCTATTTTTTTAGTTCTAGTTTTAGTTTATGTTAACAACACTGGATTAGCCTAAACCCTAAAAAACATTTTGCATTTATAGATTTTTTTTTTTAAAATTCGGTTCATCGCAATTAATCGCATCCAAAATAAAAGTTAAAGTTATGTTTACATAATATATGCATGTGTGCTGTGTATATTTATTATGTATATATAAATACACACACATGCATGTATATATTTATTAAAAAAACTTTTTTATACGTTTATATATTAAATATATTTATATATAATATAGATTATATGAATATAAATATATACATGTAAATACATCTAAATATTTTCAAAATATATACTGTATGTGTGTGTAATCATATATGCATAATAAATATACACAGTGCACCCACAAATATTATGTAAACAAAAACTTTTATTTTTGATGCGATTAATCGCGATTAATCGTTTGACAGCACTAGTTATTTGTGATTTTGGCTTTTTAAGAGTTACATCGAGTTTTTTTTAAGTGTGTACTAATTTTGTTGCATTTAAATGCAGAATGTAAGAAACTGCTTCACAGAAAAAACATCAAACTCTGCATACCTGTCATTTCTATTGGTGCCAGGGTAAGTTCTGCACATCCCTTGCCTGTTCTTTTGTTAAGTATTTAAGTTGATTTGATTACAATGACAGCTAGAGACTCTAACAGCACATTTTCTCCCAAACTCAGTGCAGAGATGTGAAAAATGTGTACAGATTTAGTCTGGACCTGGGCTCAACTAACCTGTTGCTGAATATCTTTGTTTCAGTTGCGTTTACAGGGGAATTTCACCATCCTAAAACTACACGATGCCAGCTAAATATTTCCCAACTCTCGAAGTGCCCAAATATCAATACCATCGATAAGTCACACATTCACTAAAATCCTCTTCTTCATATATGCTAACATCAAACTGATATATATCATCAAACTGAATTAGTGTGTGTATTTTTATGTGTTGTATGGCGTGTATCTCTTACACACACACACACACACACACACACCTCTTTAATACTCCACAACTGTTTCCAATCATTAGGTTCCTGCATGTCTAGGGCCGGTCGCCTCTGATTGCACGACACTGGATACGAGATCCCATGAAGGGCAGAGGGAGGGCGATTTACACCCGTGGGCTAAAGGAGAGTCCTCTCCACCTTTCCCTGCTTCCTGTTCACTCACTTTTTTTTTCCTTTAATGATTTTTCTTTGTTCCCTGTTATCTTTAACAGCAACACATGGTCCCCGGTTCTCAGACTGAGATCACGGTGGAAAATGTGAAATAAGTGCATATTTGTTTTAAATACGTATTAATTACATAGTTATTACATATGTACTAACATATAACTAGTTATACATAAATTTAGTTATAAGTATAGAAAAAAAATATGTATATATATATATGCATGACCAACACAAAATTATGCTGACGATAACTTTATAAAACGTGTTTTTTTTTGCTGTTGTTGGTGTTGTTGTTTTGTTGTTGAAAAGATACTTACGTGCAGTATATTTAAATGTCTGCTAAATGCATAACTTATTATTATTATTAAATTATTATTAAATGTACTTGTGGTTAAGGCAATACATACTATGAAATCCAAAGAAGAGGCTACACCTAGGCCTGCGTATGATAACATCAGCAGCGGAATATAACAAGCTGGAAGTTGTGCTGAGTCGTATTTAGGTAAACTTGACAAGTTAGTGTTTACAATAAACATAGATCACATGAAATGAATACATCTGTCAATGGGAATATGAATAATATCTGTTCTTCTGCTAAGGTGTGTATAAGTGGAAACTCCAGAATCTTAAGAGGAGTTTCGCATTCGTGTTGTATTCTCAAAATGGCTATTATCTCACAAATTCTTGAGACAGCATGTTTTTTTATGCATTTAATTTTCATACCATTAACCTGGGGTTGAAATCGTTATTATTATTATTTTTTTTTTCCATTTAAACCAATTGACATATGTTTGAAGTTACAAATTCCTATTGCTGAATACCTGGACAAATCTGAAATTGTTAGCATTTAGTCCATTATAAATGAGTACAACATTTAGATCAGATTATTTCTGCAAAGAATTATTAAATGGACAATAAAGTCATTAATATCTAGCACATTGTAAAAATATCCTCCCTCAGACAGTTATCATAAAAGTAATCTGTCTTGTCTATGTTTTGTTTTGTCTTTTTTTTTGTATCTTTCTGTTGTACAATTAATAAATTAATAAATATACAAACAGTTTGCTTCTCTTTAACCAGATATTGAGTCTATCATACAGTCAAGATAAAAATTAGCACAATACTTGGAAAATTATTATGGACCATTGAACAAACTTTTCATTTATATATGTGCATTTATTTAATTTTATTCATTTTTTTGTTTTTGTTTCATTCTATTGAATTTGCTGTTTAAATGTGATTCTGAAACAGGTTAACTGTTCATCAGACCAATGGCATCAGTTCAGCGGGTGCGAGCTACTCCAGCTGGTTAAAGATCCAGCCACAAAAACAGGTTCTGTT